ATTCTTGATCTGGAATACTGCTTGGAAAAGATTGACTGCATTTGAGCAGAATGGAATGTGCTTTTTAATAGCTTTTCCTCAGTAATCTATTTTGTCAAATAACAAGATTGGTTATTGCTTCAGGCTGAAACATTTTGACTAGTTAAGTGTTGGAGGCAGTAATCTCAGCCCTTGTAAATAGAAAATAATGTAGGCAAGGTATGGGGTGGTGGACAGAAATGAAAATGAGAGCAGCACTTTCAAATCAATCTGATAAGAAAACAGCAACAGATGCAATCCTTATTGTAAGGCAATATTTAGGCAGAGGAAAGTAGCGGTTACTTTGAGTGGCAAATTGATGAATGCGCAAATATCACTGCCTTAATCAGGAAGGGCTCTTTGTGGCCCCGCAGTAGTGTTTGACCTGTGTCAGTGCAGCGGCAGAGAGTTTGCCCTGGCACCATCCTCCGTAAGCAGCTCAGCAAGCCGAGCAAAAGTGAAGCGGTAAGCCTCTGCGATAGGCGGCCCTGGCCTGGGCATCCAGTGCCGCCAGCCCTGCCCCAGTGCTGCGGCGATGGGGAGGGTTGGTTCATGGATGTAGGACTAGGGGCATGGCCTGGATCCGAGCCCGTGTCCATGTGCCGTCCGCCACCTGCCACCTCTTTCCCCGGCTGGCGTTGGTCACTGCCGTGCCTTGAGACTGCAGAGCCTGCGTGCTTGTTTAGGTAGAGGTTAAGAGTGAGCCCAGGGGGACCTGGGCCTGAAGGCCTGGGGCTGAGAAGGACCTGTGGGGATCAAGCACATCTCACGAGACTCAGCCACACAGGGCAGGTGGTCCTGGAGGAACTGGTTTGCCATCGTTGCGAAATAGAGTGTTCACTGCTGAGAAACCTTGTGCTGGCGTCACTTTACTTCAGCTTTGTGAGATGTGTGCAGTCCCATAAAATGTCTGTGGCGTTTTTATGTGCATTCAAAACGACTGTGTGCTTTATGGAGCCAGATCACAATTCTGCCAGCAATTACCTGTGTAAAGCAACATGCCGAAGTATGAAAAATAGTAGTGTCATAATAGTAGTACTAGTAAATGCTGTCACCATGGTAGCCTCAGGATTTAAGAAGGGTCTGCATGAAAAAACTGTGTGTGGGAGGGATCCACTGTAAGGCAAAAGCAACTAGCAAAGTAGTTTGGTTACAACCGCATGCATGCCTATATGCCTTGTACCTACAAAACAGGCAAACCAGTATACTTGTAACAAGGACATCCTTACAGTATGGGTGAAGACACTCAAGGTTCAGCCTCCTCTGTACTAAAGATGATCTCAGTAATATTTGTCATTAGAAATGTTCTCCTTCATCAACAGCTTCTAGACCGGACAGCGTCTCTGTCTCACTGTTGTTTGGCTCACTTCCATCTGATGCTGCCTTCCGGGCACTACAAGGAAGTACCATTGTCCCCATTTCTCACTCTTAACCCTAGATGACCTTTGTCATTAGAGAATGAATTTAAATTGCTGCAGGATATGGGCTTATGAAGTGGTTACTGTGTTTAGAGACAGATATACGGAAGTGGAAGAAAACAAAACACTAAGCCTAAAACCACTTGAAAGCAGCTCCAGAAAGAGCTTATTTCTGTTTTATCCAGCTAAAAAGGTGGGACTCTGTCCTCAAGCAAGGTCTTCATCCTGGATAATCAAATAGGGAACTGGTGTGGGGAGAGTTTGTTCTCTTATATTTATTTTCTTCCTTTGTTTGCCTCATTCTCCAGAAGTTTCCTGATAGTTAATGACATTTTTAATGTTTCTCTCTAAGGATTAATGATTACTGCTGCCTAGCAGTGATTGCATAGTACATTTCACTTACACAGTGAGGATGATGCATGGTTAGGCTGATCAGCTCCAGAAATTAGAAAAAAACCTCAAGCACTGGTCATTGAAATCTTGGAACAATTATCTGCAAATATCTGATGTCCGTTTGTTGGATTTTAACCCATAGCTCCAAAGGAAAAAAAGTCTAAAACCTCTCAAAGAAAAGAATACAGCTTTTTTTTTTTTTTGACAAGGCAGGATATTATTTTCTAAACTACTGCTTTGGGAAGTGTCTGAATTGTTTGCTATTCAGACATTTTCCATGTGAAAATGGAGTTGAGGTGATTTAAACTTTGCAATATTCTATGTCCTTTAGAATATTAAGAAATTTCCAGCAAGCCAGGTAAAAGACCCAATCTACAAAACCCAGTGTTGATATCATTTTACGTTAAAAACATGTTAAAAAAAAGAGTTACAGTTGCAGAGCTAGGTACTGCAAAAGTAGGATATGTCCTGATTTACCTCTCTTTTGCCTAATACGTGTAATTATGGTATGAACAATGTTGAACAGCTACTATGACATTTAACATAGGATTATAGCCTAATGGTGTAGCATCTTGTAGTTAATTTATGACTAAAATCAATCAAGTTTAAGCCAGACTGTCTGCTTTTCTGAGAGGAGAATGGGGTTAGGGAATGTAAAATAAAAAGTCCTCCTTGGATGAATTCCTTGCATTTTTTTTTTTTGTTAATGTATGAGGAGCATTGGACTGCAAAGTGTAATTATGACAAATACCCTGTGGCTGGGAAACCTAGATGGGAGGTGTTAACGTAGTTTGAAATTGTTAATGTGTCCCTTCAGAGAGCAAGTTGACAATATCTCTCAAAGCAGTGATTAGTTTGGAGAGGTTTTTTTTTTAATAGCTCAAGAAACAACCCTTTTGATACTGTCTCTCTCAGTTCTCCTATAATAAACTCTACTAGCACCACTGGATTGAATTAATTTATACTCACAGAGAACCTGTTCTGCATTCCTTGCAGAGGAAAACTGCTAAAGTTGTTGGAAGGGCCACTGCACATCTGTATACATGGCCAGCCATAGCCAGATGCAAGCTCTTCTGCCAGTACCCAAGCTGGCCAAACTCAAACAAGCTGCAGTCCAGAAGCTGTATAGTCGTCGTGGCCAAGCTCTGCGTATCCATACCACTAGGGCACGGTGTTGCAGCAGCCCGCCTTCCAGACCCAAGAGGCCTTGTGGCCATCCAGCATGGAGGAGCTTAACGTTTTTCTGAAGCCATCATGTGAATGTGCCCTGTGAAATTTTATGAAAGCAATTTTGGCATCCTCAGGGTTGTCTGACTTTTCTGAGGTTCTAACTATATCTGAGAATTTGCAGAAACTGCAGCTCACGGAGAGCCGAGCAGGTACCAATCTGCTTTGCAGCTTTCATGCTGAGTCCGTTCTAACGCTTAAAAGATTGGACTGTCTTCCTGTTCACTTCTAATTGCAAATTAGAGTGCTTGGTTTGGTTTGGAAAACAGCTACTTGATGTTTTTTCTTTTAGCTTTTTTATCATTCCATGTATATTGTAAGACAGATTATCCTCAGCTGGACTGACTGTTTCTGAGACAGACTGTTCTCAAAGAGAAAGTCTCCAGTTTTGACTGCAATTTGAATTTAATCTGAAAGAGCTGTATTTCACCTCCTTTTAACAAATATTAGAAGCCTGTTTCTGTGAAGAACAAGCTCAGGAGTCAAAGTGTTATAATTCATAACTTTACTGGTAAACCAAAGCCATGGATTCAGCAGAGATACTGGCTTTCTGACATCTGCCTTCCACTGGTTAGAAGCTGTCCACCCCTCTTCCTCATAGAAAATAATTACCACAGCACCCCTCTGTTCCCCTTTACTAACATCCCTTTTCTTCAAAAAGTGCCTATCATCTTTTCTTCCACATATGGTGCAACTGATACATATCTAACTGAACTCAGTATATTTTCTCAATAGGTATTAGCTTGGAAGTAAGTGCCCTCTCTTTCAGATCTGAGGAAGGGATTTTGTGCCCCAAATTTTACCTTGTTTTTTTACTGCACCAGTTGGTTGAACAATATGTGTTATCTCTGCACACGAATCTTCTCTTGCCTGCGTCCTTACAACTTCCTGGGTGCAACAGCGATGTTCACGTGCAGAATCTGTGCTCATGAGGTTCATAGCAATGTGAGACCCGATACCCGATCAGTTAGTTGCCTAAGTTGAACTCCTTAAATCATTCTGCAGTGCAATGGCACCGTATGAAAAGGAAATACATTCCTGGCCGTTCATGCAAACATATTTCTTATACTCTCCATTATAACTTTTCTTTTCTGTTTTAACACTTGAGAATCTCTTTCCCAACAGGTGTTGTATGTTCTAGTTTTCTCTGGAACAGTCTTTGATATTTGTGTTTTTTCTTAAATCTAGGTTTGCTCTCATATTACCATTGATTTTCGCAATTACACAGTTTCCACACTACTTTTTGCAGCTGTCTTATCTGTAAAAGTAATTACTGTGTCAACCAACATGTTACTAAAATATCTCCTAACAAAGATTGGGTTTTCATGTCAGTCTTTCAGACATTGTGCCTGGATCCCTCCACTGAGATATTCCAACCTATTTTCAGTATTAACTTTGCTATTCCCTATTTATTTTCGTGTATTAATGCTCATTTGTAAGATATATAGACTCATTTTAAAGTAATCTTTTTTAAAACATTGTTTCCTGTAATATATAGCTTTCATATTAACTTTTGTCTTATAATTTTACTGTCAGGACATCAACAACGGCTGTGTATCATAGTTTGTTCTCTATGAAATACTTTCTGTTTCTCAGTTATCTTTCTGTATTATTCTTTTGTAAACACAGTAGTTTTGTATAGTTGTGTTGTGTTTTACGTTTTGAAAAGGGAGTTAATTCAGAATTCAGAAAATGCATAATACTTATCCATTAGTGAAATATTTCATCTTTTACTAATTAAAGATACAATATAGGTTGCAGTTGCTTTGGCAATTTAATTCTATTGAATCTTCCTCTAGTTTTAATACCTACAGTGTTGTTTTTGAGGATTTTTTTTTTCAGAATGAAAAAAACGTGTCCCATAAGCGTCACTGAAGAGCAGTGTGGTGTTTTCATGTGCAAAGCTTAACTGGAAGTGTTAACTCCTGTGTGCTTTTCTTTCAGAGTACGGACCTGAGTCCAGCTAGCAGTACCACCTCGCTTCCTGTCAGCCCTCTTCCTGAGGAGCCGCTACTTTTCAAGGTACAGTTAATCCGTTTTATAATAAATATTGAATATGACTTTTGACTTATTATGTACTAATACTGATATACTCAGAAGTGCTGGAACTATTGCTTCCCTTTCTTAAAATTACTTTGGTATTATCAGTTGTTCTGATGCACTTCTCAAGAAACAGAGCAGAACATTCTTGTTTGTGAAAGGATTATTCTTCCGCTAACAAAAGAAACTAGAGCTAAAAACTGTTATTTAAAAAAAGTGAAGACTACATTTTTGTATATTTTTATCTGCTGGTGATACATTTTGATAGGCGTGCATATAATTTTTCTTCATCAGATTTCTCTATACATTACATTTCAAGTACATATTTTAATCATAATTTTCTCAAACGTACAAGAAAACTTAAAGGTATCTCAAAAACCAGTTTCATTGTAAAGCACAGGCCTGACACTGTAGTTAATTGTGATAATCACTGTACTTTGGTGGTATTGACTCTGAAAGATGCTGCGCTCCGTTTTCAGCTTCCCTCTCAGCAAAGGAAAGTGAATATCGTAGAAACTTTGGTAACAAGGCTCTCATGGCAATATGCAACTTTGTAACGTTTACAGTGTGAGGAAAAGGTGGCCCTACTTCATTTTTTCATTTAACATATCCTGTCTCCAGAACCCCTGGGGCACAGAACGGCCTCTGACATAGCCTGGCTCTCGTGAAAGTTTTCCTGCGGCTACCCACCTCTTTCAGGTAGTGCTGAGGAAGGAAAAGCAGGTTCCTTGCTGGTCTTTGCCGAGACGAGGAAGAGGAGGCTTACGGTTTCAGCACCATCGTTGTCTCAGATGGCCATACCATGGGCAAAGTTATACTCCCTTTAAAACTTCCCCTTTCCTCAGCAAGTTTCTCACAACTGTACAAAGGCAATTAGTAGCCTGAGTTATGCGTAGATCACTTTGTGATGACACCAAAGTAAGGCTGAACAAATAGAATTAATGACGTTTTTCTAATTATACATTTGTGTCCCTCTTGCACATGCTTTCAGTGCAGGAAATACTAGCCTCCTTCAGTCCTTTACAACCCCCTAGGGAAACTTTGCTTTTTTCTTTCCTTCTGGCCTTTCACTGCAGCAAATATAGTGATTTCCAGAGCTGCAGGTCTCACCTACTCCGGCGGTACCTGTAGTGTCCCGTCAGTGTCCTTACAGTACTTTCAATTGCTGTGCCCACTCAGGTTTCTGCATCTCTTTTTGCAGATTTTTCCCATTTTCCGCACATTTTGTTTGTCTGTGCAAGAGTTAGATGCTGCAGCTCATAACCGTGCATGTTCAGTCTGTCTAGCTCATTAGCCACTTGATCCATGCTCTCGGTTGCCGCAGGAGTAAGCTTGCTCTCTTTTTTCATCTGTGGAAGTACAAATGGGATCTGTGTGTTCAGCTATCCACTTATTTTTATTTCTCTTTTGGGAGTTAATGTTTTTGAGACCCCTAGCTCTCGGTCCAGTTTGGCTGAAATTGAGCAATATTGCGGCAAGACACTGGAGCACACAAATCTTTTTACCTTACGATACCAGGCTAAATGCATGTTGAAATGTTCTTAACATTATAAGGCAGATTCTGTAGTTATTGTTTCTCCCTGTGCTTTGGAAACAGCAAAGTAAGAGGCGGCTCAGCCCACCTGAAGGTAAGAAAATCTAGCCTGGAATAGTTATAAGAAGTGCTTGAGTTCACATCCTCAGCTGATGTCAGCCTGCACTACTCTCTGACAAATATATCACAGTGCATTTATTTATTTTTAAAGGAAGTGGTGCTTGTATAGCTCAAAATTGGTTGTGAATGGCTTCTTTGAAGTCGAGTAGTTGCTCTAATAAAGAAATTAGGTATTTCTTAATATTAGAAGTCCCCTTCCTTTATATTTTATCATAGAAAATAGTACAAGAGACCGAAAAAGAAGGCAGGCAGCTTTATTTAGTCTTTCATTTTCAGTCAATTTTCAAAGCAGGATATATTTTCCTTTGGAATTTATGTAAATTTTGAGGTCGGACTAAGAAAAAGTCGAATACATCTCACAACCAATGCCATTAAGTAGAAATAAAAGTAATATAAAATGCAGCAGTTTCTGTTATTACTTTCTGACTCGCTCCAAGAGAGAGCAATATTGTTCCAGTAGTAATGTGAATGAGTGGTTTTACAAGCCATAACTCTTTCCAAATACTGTCAGTATATAATATCGGGTTTTGATGATGAGTGATGTATTTGCCATACCAACATGATAATGACCCTTCCCACCTCCTTGCTGTATGAAATGAAAAAATTAAAAAAAAAATCTACTTCATGATTCTGAAAACATGGATGTAACAAAACAGGGCAGTATAAACGCTTTGTCTCTTGGTGGAATATTTGAAGATCTCTTAAGCTAATGAGCTTTTGTGGTAGACACTGAAATGAAACCAAGCCCCTATTCTCAATCGTACCTGATTTTATACCAGGAAAGAGAACTGTCCCCTCTTGGATTTTATCAGGTTTTATCTTCAAAACAAAGTCGGCATTTCTGTATTTAAAAAAAAAAAATGCAAATCGTATCATCATACTGTTATTGCATCTAACTTTACCAAAGCAGATGCTTGTGATTTTTAATCCCATGGGACGTGTGATCTATAAATATGAAACTTGTTCAAAAAATTCCCATGGGAGTGCTTATATGTTTAGAGCCCTACTAGCTCTAAATGCAGCTACCGTTTTTCACCTTATACTGTGTAGGCTATGACATGCAGTACGACTTGACAGCTCCAGATCTCATGAGACAACATTCTGGAATATTTGGGGAAAAATTTGTTCCAATACAGCACGAGATGTTCCACCCGGGTCACTATATTTTATCTGTGTTAATACAACATCTATAAGGAAGTGCCAGTGATTTCTAAAAACCAGAACAGAAGACATTAGAGTAAGACGTTAAAGGTAGCCAACTCCAGAGCCATTTAAAGGTAAAAGCAATCCAGAGGAAATGAAAGCATAAGGTTCCCATTCAGCAACCTTCACTCCCTAACTGTTGTAAATAGTCGAACAGTAAAGGAAGTTGCTTTGGGCTGAGCCAAGAGCAACTTTGTGCAGTAGTCAGAAAGATAACCAGTTCTTTATGTGGCTTCAGGTTTACTTCTCCCTGTGCAGAGTTAGCTATACGCTTGCGTAGAGAGCAGCCTTCCCTAGCTGTGCACTTTAAAAGCTTAGAAGAAAATCCTGTTCAGACATGTATGCAGACGGTGCACTTTTCAAAAGCTTTTCTCTCCCTCAAATCTAAACCAATTTTCGATGAAACACGCATAGGCATTTCTTTTCCATGAGGGTGATTTTTATGTCAGATTTCAGCTCTCTATCCTCATCTGTTTTCCACAGTTACAGCTATTAAAAAAGCAAGATCTTTTTCTGTATTATGGGAAGAGTGTATGCCCTCTCTCTCAAAAGAACGCCTTTGTTGCTGGTGGTGGTCTTTTATTTCAACTTTTTTTGCAGGGAAAAACTCTTCCTATGAACAGGAATTTATCCTTCTACCCCTATACAGTATTCCTTGGAGAACTGGAGAATTGGGGCCTTAACTTTGGAAAAAAATGTGACATGGCAGCTGAAAAATTTCTGAATTAAGAATTTGAAAAGCAGGGCAGAATGGTGTGTGTCATGCAACCTTAACTCGAGTGGTTATTCTGCTTTACAATAGCAAAACTGTAGCTGGCACAAATGTGACTGACATTTAATTATAACTACTTATATCTTTGTTTATAAGGTATAATTAAAAATAATTTTGCCTTTACACATCATTTTGAAAATCAGTGAAGGGAGGAAATATTTCTGAAAGGTCAGCTTACAGAGCAACATCTCATCCATTTTTTTAGAGCCTTTTTCTTTCTCCTGGTTATTACATCATACTTTGTTATAATAGTATTTTCTTAATTTTAAAGTTATTCTAAAATATAGTGACAGAAACTTTTAAAACAGGAAATCCACGAGAGCCACTTAGTACGTAGTGTAGAATACTTATATTACCTAATGATACATCATCTGCTATAATGAGCCCCAGTCTCACTGGTTTTCAGCCACAACCACATTGTAAATACTAATCATAATGTTCATTTATTTAAAAAAATATTTAATTGCGTTTGCATTCCATCATTAACCTCAACTATACTTTACTAATTGGCATTAAACAAAAGAAAAAAAAAAGCCTTATATTCTTTCTATTCTACTTTGAGAGAGCTGAAAATTTCCTAAGCATTTACTATCTTACTGTATTCTGACTTCTGTAATTAATACTCTTGATGCTAATGCCCTGAGTGAGAATCAGAAGTGCCAACACAAATAGCAAAAGTGAACAATCCTTAGCAGTGTTACTAAAAGTAGGAATTAGGTCCATACTAATAGTTCTGACGTTCATCCTGGAGCTCCATAGGCTCTGGAGCTTCAATACTGACTATATTCAACACCTTTGTTAATCACTAGTGGACGTGACTCTTTGGCAGCCTGTGGCATTTGTATATACAACTTTACCAAGAGATAAATTTTCCATCTGGATGATAATCAGATTCGTATTTTTAATAAAGGTGTTTGGAATAGTCAGTATGACAGTTACCGCAATGTTCACTGGCCGGCCAGGGCAACGTATCCTTGACAGTGTGACTTCACAGATCTGGCTGAAGAATAAGGCCTTGTCCTAATTTAAAGTTAGTCAGAAAAGATGGCCACAAATTGGGTTTATACTGAATAAGCTGTTTATGCTAGTCGACACAGAGCCCATTTACCATCTCTTCATTAATGAAAACTCACTGTTTCCAATTTTTTTGGAAAGTATTTGCCAGCACATCTTTGAATGGGACCGTTTTTAATGGTCTCTTCCCCCCCCCCCAAAAAAAAACATACCCAGAAATAATTACATAGGCATTATGTCCCACTGAGCAGATACAGATTAGGCTTCAGTGACTCTCATTCATGGGCTGGAGGCTTCATTAGTTCTTCTCCCTGTCATCTCACCCTCTACCTGAAGTTC